TATCATGGGCTCCTGGCAAAATATATATATTTGATTGTATGTCAACATTTACATTTCTTCTATACATGTTGCATTGGAGAAATAACAAACCTTAGCAACCACCCGCCCACGCTACGTAGTGGGTATGGTCACGGCAAACAAAATGGCGGCTTGCGCACGGCACAAAGTTATGAGCTTTGTAACAGCGAAAAAACATATAGATACTGTGTAAACATATAGATACTGTGTAAAGACTTCTCTAGAAGCATTAGAAGGTAGAAAGAACCTTCATAAGTCTTAATAAGAACCCAGTTGTACTTGCAAGGTGGTAAAAAGAATTATAGGAATATTTTTACACTGTTATGCTGTTTCTATTCTGGCTAAGCGAATGTATGAGTATATACATGTAAATGCATACTTTTACATCTTCATCATGATATATGTTAACTGCCAGCTTTAGGATTTTACTTGACCCATTAGGAGTTGCATTACTTGAATGAGTAGGGAGTTGCAAATGTAACTTTAAAACTATTCATTTATTAATGAAGGTCCTTATTAAAATAATATAAACTACCATTGCAGAGGAAGTTGATTCCTTGTGTCAATTGAGATGCTACCGGCTAAAATATAATAATTTGTTTTAATAATGACATTGAAAGATTCATTTACCTTATTGTAAAAACTGGATCTTGTACATCAAGTGAGCCAGCAGAGTCTTGAGAAACAATTTTGACCTATACATGTTCATAAGTATATAATATTAGACTGTCACAAAACTTCATTATCAGGAGGAATATATTCAGTAATTTTTTATCACATTTTTGTTCTACAAAGAAGAGTAATAACAATATATATATATATATAATACATTAAAATGTTCTTGTATAATAGAATTTATTTTAGGGTCAACAATAAAACTATTGTCAAAAGTGGCAGGGTAACAAAATAAAACTTGATAATTTCAAGACAGGAAATTACTTTTTAGTGGCTTTTCAGGTATTTTCTCACTCTCATCAGCAGAGCTATCAGAATAAGACAATTTGTCATTAATGCAACGATTTGTTGGTTTTTTTACCTAATACAACAATAATTACTATTATGACATTAAATTACTAAGTACCATGAGTTTTCATGATGGTAACTTCATAAGGAACTTTTTTGTGCACCCAAAAAACATTATTGAAAGAATACAATTCTTTAATTGTCACTTGACTTGCATCTTCAATTTCTAGATACATGCTACAAACTAAATGTTCCTTTTCTGAACCATGTTTGTTCTCTAACTTTACTGTGCACCACACTACCAATTAAAATGAAACATTTTACAGTATATGTTCAAATTTTGGAGCATTTATAATTATGTGTTTTCAATGAAATGTGCTGAAAAAATAATATTCATGTGAGCTAATTTTTGTGTTCTTGCTATAGTCTCATACAATAAAATGGAGTTAGAGGTGATTTAAGAGCACGAAAATAATGAAAATTAACAAACAGCAAAATTTACCACATATACGGTATTATCTTAGTTTGATGTATTATAATTGCAATATGCAAATAATTTTTTTAACTTATAATAGATAGTTTAATTTTGAAAGTAAAATGAATTAACTCAGTGCAGTTAATAGGGTCAGTGAAATATAATTATTGTAACAATATTCAGGCAAACTGAACTAATTTGATCTGATGGAATTGAATAGCAGGCGTTATGTGTATAGGGCATAATAGACTTTAAAGCAAGATGATTGGTAATGCAAAACACTGGTACAGCTAATTAAATAACTTACATGAGGTAACACCATATCTATTATGTGGAATTTAGGTTTTAAAATTATGATACGTACTAGTTTGTGGTAGATGCTGTTCGACTCTATTATCCCCGTTTTCTTTCACCTTCTCTGATGGTTTTCTTAGCCTCTTTCTAGATTTACTGCTGTCAAAATGAGATAAGTATTTATAGAACAACAATTACAGTACCTCATTATCTATCTTGTCTTTATGAGCTGAAGTTATGATTATGAAGCAGAGGTAAAGAAAAGGAGAAAGAGCTGGCTAAGCAGAAGCACATCAACTACACGTTGTTCGCATCTCCCTTGCGCATGCGCAATCAATTACGTGGATGAGGTTATTGTACTGCGTGCATGTTTTACAAGTAAAAGCAATTAATATACATGTATATACTGAAACAAGCTAGGATTCAGAAAAGGAAATACAAGTCTTTTGTCACTGACAGTACTATTTCAAAGCCAAAGAATAGTTACTGGAGATATAAAAAAAGACAGAAAATGAGTAACGGCCAAGATGAGTTCTAGGAGGCTACTTCCAGTGGTTGCAAAAGTAGGGGATATCTTCAATGCACTAGCAAACATTCCCCGTCGAACATTGTGCTATTAGAAAGGAAAAAGGTAATGTTATAATATAAATGTGTAAAATTAAAATTTTACTGAAATGGATGGGCAAAAATGTAATGAAGAAAGTTTACCTGAATATTATATAGGCGGTAGCCTATATGTAGGATTTAGGTTGATTTTTCAAGATGGCGGCCGTTTAAATGATTTTCAAACACTTATAACTCTTTTATCTTACATTGTACAGCCTTATAAATGGCTTAGATGAGCTCTCCTTCACTGAGCGATTCTCCTGGTACCTTTAAAGTGGCCTGTAATGTAGCGGAAGCATTTCTGGAGAACAGGCCCAAATTCAAATTTCTACAAAATTCTTCAGACTTTTTTTCTTCTTTCATCTTCTTCTATGCACCTGATAATCTTTTAATCCAGTGAACCGCTCAAGTTGGCTTTTGCATCATTCTTCTGTGCTTGGGTCAAGGACCACAAAGGTAGTTTCAAAAAGAAGCAAAGACAGGGAGCAAAATGGAAGACAAAATCCAGCTGCAGACACCTTGTGGGTTTGTGGTTTGACGCCATTTTAATTTAAACGTACATGATCAGTATGAATATAATTAACCTAACCACACAATCATAACAGGATGTAATTTATCACATTAAAGAAAAAAATGGAAACAAGTAATAAAAAACATTAAAAATGGGAAAATAGTAGGATTGAATTGGGACAAAGAAAGGGTTTTTGCAACCTGGTGTGGTAAGAAATCCTACACGACTGCATCAAAGATGATGGCTTCATATAGTGCTATCATAGTTGGCCGTGAGGATAAATTGCTATGCTTTTGGGTAACAGACTTCATGCAGTGGTGTAGGATTTCTTACCACACCAGTTTGCAAGTACCCTCTTGTTTCCTTACTTTTTCCCAATTAAATCCTACTATTTTGCCATTTTTAATGTTTTTTATTACTTGTAATAGAGATGTTGTTCATATACCTGATAGCTGTAGTACTGAAGGTTGCTCTCCTGATGAAGTTGTGAATGGATTAGATTATAAAAAAGTTGATGACAAAAGTTGCTAGTAAGGCAGCCACTATAGAAGTGATCAAAATAAAGGTATTATAATGAAAAGTTACTCTCTTTATAAAGATGCCACTATGGTTCAAAAGTAACAGGGAAGTAGACAATGATGAGGATTGTATGAACAATGAGATTAAGGTTAGAGCCACGGACACATGTGAAGAAATTAAAGATTTTGAAGATGACGAGATTCTTGATTCTATTCCACATCATATCTTCAGCATTGAAGATGATTACATTGAAGATGATTACATTGAAAGTGATAATGACAGAGATAATGAGTGTGGTGATAATACTGACACTGACAAAGAGGGTAAACTTGTGTTGAAAAATACAAAATGATCTTAAACGCATAGATGTTTCTTTACTTTATGATGGAAGTTCTATATCCATCAATGGTAGTTGGTATTCAATGATGTATTTTGCTGTGAAAATTCAGTTACCATTCAAAGCTATGGAATACCTTATTACACTGATTAAAGTGGGTATAGCAATGAATAAAAAAGAAACCAATATTCACTATTGAAATAGGCTCACTGTCCTACTCTACAAAATTATTGTCCTAAAAGTTTTTACAAGTTTAAGAAATATTTTGATTCATTTAACAAGCAAACACAGCTAAAATTTTGCTCTGTGTGAATGAAAATTTTGAAACAAGCTGACAAAACTTGCTCAAATACTCAATGCATTAAACAAAAAGCTAGAGAATGTGACGCGCTTTTTCCAATTGAAGCAAAATTAAAGCAGTTATACAGTATAGAGCATATACAGTCCTAAATGTTTTAAGCTATAATTAATGTTTACTTTTTCTTTAGAAGAGCACGACGAATTCATCTATAAGGGATGTTGACGAAAGTGAAATTCGAAACCTAATGTCTGAAGGAGGTTTTTGTCATTTTGGAAAAATACAGGTCTTGCTTCAAGTTCTGATGGCGTACCGGTATACAAATCATCAAACGGTAGTTTGTGGCAGTGTACCTAATGGTGACAAGTATGCCACCACCAGACATGGATAATATGTAAGAGTAATAGTAACAGTAATGTTTGGAAATATTGGTATCATAGCAATTTAATAATAATTGAAAAAATGTAATTCATTGTAAAAGTAATAGTAATATGAATTAGACTGTCAGTAATTGTAATCTTAATAGAAATTATGATGTAATATGCATTGATTACACACATGATGTACTTGACAGTTCAAGTGTCAAGTTGTCACTGCCACTGTCAGCACAGCGCATTTTGTTGCAGTTGCTTTGTCATGTGATGCCTAGAGCACATGTTTGTTACTGTCATTCAACTGGATAAGGATAATGGCTAAACTGTACTCAACTCTTAATCAGTTTCAGCTGCCCTCAAACACTGCGGGTAACTACATGGATAAATTTAAGCATTGTGGTACATCAATTTAAGGGTCACATACAACTACATCTAATTTTACTACTCACTTAAAGGTAAGTACACATGTAGTTTTAAGAGGATACTCTTACTATTTAAATTTTTTATAGAGGAAGCATAAAAGAATTTACAACAATAGTAAGGCTGAGGCTAAGGCCACTAAAGGACAAGAACAACCTTGATTTGATTCGATGTTAAACCCTAGAATGTATGCCACTAATGATAATCAACAAAGGAGGGCCAATGATGCTTTAACATTACTTGTATCTGAGATGATGTTACCTCTGTCTATTGTTGAGGCTCCATGCTTCAAGCTTTCTACTGAGACCTTAGATCCTCGTTTTGTCGTACCCTCCCGAAAGTACTTTACTACAACATTAATATCTCAAAAAGATGAGGTTATAAGAGGCAAACACATTGATATTCTTCATTCCTCGAAAACGGTGTCTCTAACACTTTATTTGTGGTCCAATTGTCAATTGAGAGGATTCTTGGGCATTATTTGTCATTTTATGATATGTTGGTCCTTAAAAACTGCAATGCTTGAATGCAACAGAATTAAAGGACGACACACAGCAGAGAATATAGCTCAGTGCCATGATGAGACAATAACTTTTAATGACATACATAACAAGATCCTTAAAACAATAACAGATAATGCTGCCAATGTTGTGAAGCGATGTCTGCCTGGAATTGAAAATTCCCATGTTGCAGAGTCTGAATCTGATGATGATGAAGATGTCGATGAAACAACAAGTGCTAGTGTTGATGACGATGAAATAAGAGAGTTTGTGACAGATACATTTCTGATGCACGAACATGATACTTGCTTTGCTTATAGCATCCGATTGGTAGTAAAAGATGGTATGAAAGAAATGGGTCCAGACAGGAAACTATTAGGTAAAGCCGCTGCAATCATCTCACATGTTCCAAAATTCCAAACAGCTACTGAAGTTTTGGAAGGAAGGATAAGGCTGCAAAGTAGTAATGCAATGAGATGGAGCAGTGAAGTAATAAGCATAAAGTTGATTCTTAGAGTTCCTAATGACAAGCTTAGGTTATTGGATGCTCCACATTTAACATTACATTACAGGAGTTTTCTGCAAGGTATGGTTGCTGTAGTGTCTCCATTTCTAGAAGCTACAAATCTAACTTAAGGCAAAAATGTAGTAACAGCTAGTTTTGTTATGCCATGCGCAAGAGGGCTTTGTCAGTCCTTGAACGACGTATCAGTTACGTTCAATTTAAGGATGCTTTCAGCACTACAAAGTTCTTTGAACAAGAGAATGTCTAAGTTTGAAGACAGAGAGCTTTTTATAATGGCTAGAGTTTTAGATCCTCGTTTTAAGACGAAATGGTGTAAAGATGATAACGAAAGGAAGAAATCTAACAATCTATTACTTCAACAATGACACATTCTGCAGAAAAGAGTGATGACTAACCAAGCAATTTAATGGGGAATACGGATGTTTATGTTCTGAAAAAAAGGGTGAAGTTTGTAAATGTGCAGGAATATATCACCCAAACCTAGAACTTTAACTTAGAAATAGTGAAACAATGAAGCATTTGGCATCTTCAGCTGGCCAAACCTTTCGATGGAGTGAAAGATCCTTGCCTTTTGGGGGATTACTTAGAGATTCCATCATGTATTCCTATTGACAACATGCACACAGCATTGGAAGGAGTATTTAAGCAATTAATGAGGCATTGGTTTGACCCACAATACCATTCAAAGCCATATAGTGTACGTAAAAGTATTCGTAATATTAAGGCATTATTGTTAGACATAAAACCAATTATTGAAATCTAACGCCTTCCAAGATCTTTTGATTCTCTTTCCTGTTTTAAAACCTCTGAATTGTGGGCTTGACTTCTCTGTTATTCATTGCCTATTTTGTCCATATTTCTGCCGCCAAAATATCTTTACCATCTCTCTTTATTAGTCACTTCTTTCCTAATTTTGTTGTCTGATGAAATCAAAATACAAGCTTTACATTTTGTTCATCTTATGTTGGCCACTTTTTACCAATTATCTGGTGAACTATATTCGCCAAATATGTACACAGCCAATGTGCACTCCTTAACACACACAGTACCACTTGTTCAGTTATGGGGACCACTGGGGATGGTCAATGTTTGGGTTTGGGACCACTTTTCATGGAACAAGGAGAATTGCCCCGAATGAGTTTTCAGATTCAGTTGCTTCAAATGGTACCTAAAAAGTTGCTTAGTTTAAGTGCATCTCAGAATGAGTCCACAAAGGAATACATTACGCAACTCTTATGCAAAAACAAATAAATATTACATGAGTTATTTGAAGGATGCTATATCGTTATTAAAATTAGTACATATTCACTAACAGAAGATAAAATGTTAGTTGCAAGGCACTATAACGTCAATGCTAGTCAAGAAGTACATTGTTTTAAGCAGCAAATGCTAAAAAATACAATATACATTAGAGAAAGTGGCGGTATCAGCAACTTGTGCAATAATTCGATTGTTCATACCTAAATAAGGATAAATCAATAAAAATTGGTAAAGTACAACCTATTTTTTTTCAAAGCAAGATCATATATGCACTCATTTCTGTTTCATCATAAATTATTATATAACGAATGAGACTCCTCTTTCAAATTCATGACCACCCCTAATTACTCTAATTCGCCAATTTGTCTGCTTAAAAGCAGTTTCTGGAAGTGAAGGCAACTGATGAAATTACAGCAATAAGTTTTTTAAAATTCTCAATAAGTTTATTGAAATTCAAGGTAAAAATTCTGGCCAGAAAACCGTTTATTGTGTCCCTTTACCAAACCAACTTGAAGTTCACTAATAATACATTACTTTACAATAATATTAACAATTAATTTATGCATATAAAGTCAAGTATAACTGTTTTGCTGTTTTCTAATACATATGTAATGCATGTAAGAACATATAATATTGGGCATGCAAAATGAAGAGTCAGATCCTGCCTGGTTATCCTGTAACAAATAATGTTTGGATATAACATGTAAGATTATGTGTAAAATCTTGCCTGAGATTTCAATGTCATCTATGTAAGATTATGCATGTCAGTCAGATCTTTTATGGTTATAATGCAACAAATTATGTTAAGATTTAACATAAGAACATATGTAAGATCTTGGATGTGCTTTGAGTGTAAAATAATTCATGTAGGATAATATAAGTGATACTGTAAGATAATTCATGTAAGATCTTGCGCAACATTCGGCCTTTGAATCTTATCAGTCATATGTGACCATAATTGACAAAAGGTACCTTATGGCGGGTAGTGAAATTTGCCTTTATAGCCAAGAAAATCCAACTTCCTGACCCCTATTTATCATGAAATTACTCCACAGGATGCAAAAAGTTACTATGTAACTTTTAAACACAATAGATGTCCAACAGAGCACTCACATGTTGATATTTTTCATTATAATGATGAATTTTAAAATCCGCCATAAGGTACCTTTTGTCAATTATGGTCACATATTGTAAGATAATTCATGTGAGATCTTAAGTAAGACCTGGCATTTAAGATATAATTTATGTTAGATCTTAAGATCCGGCCTTTAAATCTTATTTGTGATATTGTAACATAAATCATGTAAGATCTTAACTAAGATCCAGCCTTTAAATCTTATCAGTGATATTATCACTGATAAAATTTTAAGGCCGGATCTTACTTAAGATCTTACATGATTTATCTTACAATATCACTTATAAGATTTAAAGGTCGGGTCTTACTTAAGACCTTACGTGAATTATCTTACAAAAGTAAATAAAAAACATTAAAAATGGAAAAGGAGTAGGATTAAAATGGGAAAAAGTAAAGAAACAAGAGAGTACTTGCAAACTGGTGTGAGAAGATATCCTACACCACTCCATGAAACATAAAGCCCTCACTAGTGTAACTGTGTAAGCCTTTATGGTG